CACAATTTAACATCAAGATGGAATTTTAGAACTAGTTTTATTGTTAAAAAGTAAAACCAATAAGCAAGAATATTCTACTACTCTTGGTAGAAAAGGAAACCTGAATTAGCCTGCAAAAACAGATCTTGTTAAAACTCAGTTTGAGATCCCCAAGACAAGTTATCAATAACATCATACCTCAATTTCATTGCTCCTATATACAGTCTAAGAAGATAAAATATGAAATGGCTTAAGGTAGAGTGAAAAATCGAAGTATTTCTCTTTGTACAACTCATCTGGAATATACCATACCTACATAGGACAGTAATGTCAGAGCTTTGTATATTTTTCTGCATTCATTGCCAAGGGCTAAACTGTGTGAAGAATGCGTTTATGATTATAACCTGCAGTGCAAGGCAGTGCAGTGGTTAGAATGTGGGACTGGGATTTGGAAAACCCAGAATTCAAGTTATCTCCTGAATAAGACAGTAACAGTGCAATTTTATACTTGCCACTTTTCCTCAGCACCGAGAGCCTAACAAATTTGCTGTGTGTATATAATGAGTTGTAACTGCTTGTACTGTATTAACATGAGCTCTTTAGAAAAGACAGATAAGGGTTGCTTAGAAACACTGGCCACCAAAACATTTTAATATATTTAAAAATATGTGTATTTGACAGCGGCAATTTGAATATTAATAGGAGAAAAGGGCACACAGGTGAATTTGTGTGAATAGAAAAATAGCCGATATGGATGAATTAAAGCACCATTGTTGAGGTTTCTCCCATAATGGGCACAATAATGCTAATGCATGTTAAAGGGCAGCAGAACTTCTACAATTAGATTTCTTACGCCCAAGAGTTCTAAAAAAGAGCAGATAAATAAGCAATATGCTCAGGGATGTGTGGTCATTCTGATTTTATGCCTAGGAGAATCAGCACAATACTATAGAATTCTCTGATAACTTCTTCCATTGAACATCAAGTTTCTGAGTCTGTATCATTCCAATAACATAGCTTTATATTTCCACAATTATATTAGAATATATTAGTGTTCACACTTAAATATATTGAACTAAAGTGGGACTTACTTCTGAATAAAGATCTATGCAATTGCTCTATTATCTTTTTTATATTTGACAAAGGATACTATACTAAGACAATCCTTCTCATAAAATTATTTTCTGAATAACTATAGTGAAACATTTCTTCTGTTGCAGTCATTAATTCATGGTCATGGGCTTTGACCATAGTTTCAGAAACATCATGCAATTGTATCTTGCAGTGTTATGGAAAGGCTGAAAATCACACTTTCACAAAACCTGCTCAGGACCAGACAGTCATATTCATTTCAGCTAAGACTTAAGCTACATTTAATTCATAATATTCATAAGCTACAAGCAAACTAGCCTCTCAATGGTTAAACTAAGCTAGAGAAGCAAGTAATTCTGCACAGAAATGAATGAAAGGCCTACCTCCTTATCATGCAAATGTGTTTCACTGACTAGGCCTTTGATATAAACAAATCTTACAAAGAGTATCATTTATGCAAATTCATATAAATTCATAGTGCTATGGCAATGTGAAATAGAGAAATTATCTACTTTAGCTATTTGTCAGAACTAGAAGTGGGAGTTAGGAATCTTCCTAGCATATAATAAAAGAATTAATTGAATATTTTAGACTTGATTGCTGATGATTACATGGACATATCCAAGTTATTTTCTAGGCAATAATTCAGAAGTCGTTTGCCTTTGCCTTCTTCCAGGGTATTCAGAAAAAATGGACATTCTTGGGAATTTCTGTAAGTTTCCCATCCAAATATTAATTTATGTAATTATATATTAAATATCAACAGGGTCATAGTCTGCTTAGCGTTTTGGGACTAGCCAAGTTTCCTATGTGAAATACATTGTTGTATGAAGCAGCACTCAATGCAAAGCACCCAAAAATGAAGAGATAATTCAATGATATCCCTCTTCCCCCCTTCTCTCTCCCCCTTTCTCTCTCTCTCCCTCCCTTTCTCTCCCTTTCTCTTTCTCTCCCTTTCTCTCTCCCTTTCTCTTTCTGTCTCTCTCCCTTTCTCTCCCTTTCTCTCCCTCCCTCCCTCCCCCTCCCCACATACACTTGTTCTTCATTATGTTTGAGTGATTACTTCAGTCAAATATTATTTGGGTTAATATTTCATATTAAACCACAGTTGATTAACTGTAATGAATAAGCAATAATAGGTTAGGATCCCACATACTACAATATCACAAACTATGTTACAGTCTAGAATGGCTAACTTCATATATCTAACTATATATAACATATAACTTCATATATAAGAAAATGTTTGCTATAATTTTGGATTTATTTCAATAGACCTTAATATACAGTCTGATTCACACATATATTACTGCAAGTTATAATGTGATTTAATTTTGATTTACTATATGAAGTTAGCCATTCTAGACTGTAACATAGTTTGTGATGTTGCAGTATGTGGGATCCTAATCTATTATAGCTTATTCATTACAGTTAATCAACTATGGTTTAATATGAAATATTAACCCAAATAATATTTGACTGAAGCAATCACTCAAACATAAGAATGAGGAACGTGTGTGTGTGTGTGTGTGTGTGAGAGAGAGAGAGAGAGAGAAAGGGAAAGAGAGAGACAGAATATTAACTACTACTGATAGTATGGTATCATGAGGTTTTATGAAGAATCCAAACAACTACTTCTTCTAAGACTGTTTTGAAAGATTCCAAATAAACCTTTTTGTTTTCTTTTTTGAGTTAATGGAACTAAATCAGATTAAGAAATCAAAAAATATCTGAAAAGAAGGCATTGATAAACCACTTCTATACTATTTCTTTTTTAGAAAAGTACATTACTATTAACTCAGAGGAGATTTGACATTTATCTAAGCTAGGAACAAAAAATCAAAACATTATTTGATTAAGTTTGTTAATTTAAGTAGTTAGATAAAAATAGTTATGCATACTGCAAAAAGTCATGTATATTGTATTTTGTAGAATTCAATACATGGCAGTTAATTTTTCCAGGTTGCTGTAACAAAAAATTTATTTGGAAAAACTGAAAACATTGTATGGATTAATTTACGGACACCTTTTCTATATTGTGATGACTTCTGCCCCATTCCTGATCAGATTTTAATCATTTGTAAACTCAAGAAGAGTTTTCGTTGGATTTCTGTTATTGTGGCTCCAATTCAATAACATATCCTCCTTAAGGAGATTCTTAATGCATGGAACTTTAGTTTTTCTGATTAAACTTTGATTTTTAATTTAGTGTTTGTTGACTTAGAATTGTTTGAATTAAACAATAAATTATATAACACCAGCTACAAATTTTATTCCATTTTTAATATTTCTGTGATCTATTTTATGATAGGGAAAGGCCATAGCTCCATAACAGAGCAGACACTTTTCATGTAAAGAATTCTGGGTTCAATCCTCGTCTTCTTCAGGGTTGGATAGGAAGAATTTCTATTTCAGCACCTAGAAAGCCATTGCCAAATAAGACAAACAGTACAAAACTGGATGGGACAGTCATCAGATTCAGCTGAAAACAGCTTCTTCTGTTCTCTGTATTGTTTAATGTTTTTGTTAGCTAATTTCCACCATGGAGAAGGAACATTTGACCTTGATGTGCACATTTTAAAATTAAAAAGGGCTATTTTCGCCCAAAAAAGTAGGGTTACAATGGCTAATAATATTTTGAGAGACAGCATGAAACAGCAAACATGGTGGCTCTGTATGTGGCAGTGAAATTTTGATCCTCACAAGTTACTTCTTTTTTCTAGGCAGTCCACAGTGTTTGAGAATATAAACTAGTCGTCTGCTTTTGACTAAAAAAGAGAACAAAGCAGAAGTTCTAAGGATTAGATGACTTTGGCCAACTTCCATATTTGGAAATCAGCAGTACAATTTGAAGTTGAATGAAAGCTGGCTGCCTAGGCAAACTTACAAGGATCTGAGTCAGAATTAAAATGCCACATTGTAGGATGAAAAGGAGGGCATGCCTTAAATATCCGCCTGAACAGGGTCTTAGTATGGAACAGCTACAGCATCTTTCCCATAATCTGTGGGTTAGAGGGCAAAAAGGCACAGTTGGAAATGTTGCATTCTTTGCTTTCTAGCTGCCTCAGACACCCAGAGGGATTATTCCATTACTCTAATGTCAAAACATTAGGATAGGTCTGCCAGTACCTTGTGCCAGATTTTGGGGAGTGGACAGTATGCATTTACTAATATGAGATACATAATGGTGATTTAAGAAATATTGTGGTACTGTTAAAAATGTTGTTTCCAGGTTAGCTTTTATCTCTCTATAATAGTTTACCTCCTATAATAATGAGAAAGAAATGGGTAAAAAATCTGACATTGTTATCTACACCTGCTAATTAATTCTAACTAAACACATTTACTTGGCAACAAATTCCTCTCATTGATTTCATTACACTTACTATTACAGAAGTGCCTGTAAGATCCCAACCTCAGTCTAACTTTTAACATTTCTACATTGAGAAGTGAATTTATAACACAAACCATCGACCACAATGCAAAGTATCCAACCTGGAAAGCTTGCATCCAAAATATGTCTCTGTTTTCACCACACTGCTTACAGCAAATTGATCTCATTTCCTACCAACCCTTGGAGGTGCTTCACATGCTCTCACAGTTTGCGTCATGTCCAGGATTTTTTAACATTTCCCTCAACCAGGATGCACAACTGAGTACTGGAAAACAATGGAAGACTAGAATTTTGTGTACAAAATTAATAAAAATAATAACGATGGACAAAAATGCCAAATCCGGTCTAAACATCTGATTGTGCAACCAACCATAACAAGATGAGGACATAAAGGGAAAATGGGAAATCCATATCCATGTTTTTTCTCCCATGCTTCTCCCATATGCTTCTAAGAGAGGCCTGAATTCAAATAAAAAGATAGAATGAAAGAAATAGTTAATATGCTTCTGAAACAACAGATAACAATATTGATCATTCACAAATTGCTTTCATGATTTTCTTCTGTCTCTACGGTCACTGGAGGGAGTCCCCCATTGTCATTCAATCGTTTCGCCCTGTAAGTTTCATAGTGGATGTTGTGAGTGACTTCTTTTAGGTCTTGAAGGTGGGTCCTGAAGGACAAGTGAAAAAAAGGTGAAAGGAGACAAAAAGTGTATCCTGTTACAACACAGAAATACAAGAGCACCTGTGTTCCTATTCAGTTATTTAATATGGCAAATGGTCAAAATTATCCAACAATGTTAGCTTTTATATTTAAATTGTTTAAAGACTGAGTTTTCCCTTATTCTCCTGCAGGGGTGGGATCCGATAGGGTTAACTACTGGTTCAGTGATTTACAAGGTTCAGTGATTTGCTGCGCGTGCCTGTAAATCGTCATCAGCCTGGTGCCTGGACAGCTGAGTAGCACTGCGTGCTGAGAAGCAGCCTTTGAAAAAGTACTTTTTTCCTGCTTTTTAAACTGCAGCTGTGCCTCCCACGGCATCTGAAGTTGAAAAAGCAGGAAATAAAGGTCAGGTAAGAGCCTGGGTGGGCAGGTGGGCAAAAAACCGGTTCTATGTCTTCTGCTCTTCAGAGCTACCGGTTCTACAGAAGTGGACAGAACCGGTAGAAACCCACCCCTGTTCTCCTGCCTCTTCATCTCTCAGAATTGTCATATATGATTGATAAATTTCTCTAACCCTTTTTTAGAACTGTAACCTTGTAGACATGATCACATCTTGTGGCAGAACATTTCTTCGTGTTTATTAATTTGAAGAAGTATTTTGTTTGTTCTAAATTTGTCCTATACTCATGAAAAATCTAGCCAGTCTAGTGAACTATACAAAACAGGGAGAAACTGATGGGAAAAAAATTGCATCTCTCCTTTATATTATTTCATTTGTTCCCATTCTATGCAGGGTGGGAGGGGATTAGCGAGTTCTTTATTGGAAATACAGCTGCTGGTCTTTGGGATATGTTAGGTCATTTAACAACTATTCAAAGATACAGTAGACCTACCCAAAGATCATTTTAATGCTATAGCATGGCAATAGTTTATTTAATTTTTTCAGTTTATTTCAGTAAATTATTCCAATACTTTTAAAAGTCATTCTCACCTAATGACAAAATCTCGTAGTAGAGCAAATTCACAATGGTTGAGATTTTCCACTGTAAATAAAGGAAATTACAATAATGATATCTTAGATAAGAATACAGTAATAGAATCACAAAACTGAATGGAAATCTGGAAGTCCAGTCCTTGCCTGAAGCAGCACTAATGTAAGACGATATCTTGTCATTCTTAGGTCTCTCACATTATCTGAATGGTAGTGGATTTGATAAAAAAATTCACAAGAACTCCTTAGGAAAAGGAATGGCAGAACCTGGGGGCAAAGTTAAGGAATCTTTTCAAACTAGAATTACCACATAGCCACAAGTGATCTAAATTCAGGCCCACCTTAAGTGCTATGACTTTTACCTAACTAACCAGGTACTGACTTTTAGTTGATAAGATTCTTATGCATAGGTTTTTAGCAAGAAAATCAGCATAATTGAACCTTCTTAAGTGACCTGGTATTTCATGCCTGTCAGAATTGGATCTAAAACAAAAATACCCCTCCCTAGAAGACTAGAAAAAAAATGCTTTCCCCACCAACTTATGTGTGTAGAGGCATATGCATTCAGGTTTATCAAAAACTTTCTGATGATTGGGGAAACCACACGAATAAAAAAACACGCTGTGCAAAAGGTCAAAAAATATCCACAAAGCAAGTGGAACAAAGATTTGTGAGGAAAAATTTACCTTCACTTGCCTCTTTCCACATTCTTTTCTCATTCTTTTAACAACTCTTATTTGTTATAAATTCTTTTATGTCAATTCAGTGACATGGTTTTAAGAGATTTATAAACAATAGCATATGAACACAAAGCAAAAATTCACTAAGCATAAAAAGTTAACATATCGGAAATTACAATCAACATTAATACTCTAATAAAATCATGGTGTCATATACCATCAAAACAAAAAAGTAATTATTCAGGTATCAGTCCTCATTTTGTGTCCTAATGCAGGCTAAAAGAGTCACATTTTTAAAAGTTTCCTAAGTGTTATAATTTATCATATACCGGTATTATCCTTCCTAGTGCTTAAAACATTTAGAAGTTAATATCAAGCTGTTATTCATTGAGATTTTCCTTGTGTATTTAAAATTAAAAACTGATCTAATGGGATTTCTCTTTTTCCTGCTCATCCCTCCACCCCAGTTATTTACAGAAAATTCACCCTTGAAAATAACTGCTATATTTTCCTATTTTATGATTCAGTATTTTGGGTAAGCACTCCTCAATTTATTCATCCAAATCATGAGTAACTAATGAATCCAATTTAATAAGTTGGGAAAGATAGTGTACATGTTTGTAGATCATTGACTTTTTGTGAAGAATCTTCACAAAAAATGCAACCATTTGCAGACTGCCTGCTACCATTAGCATTTGCATTATCTGAATAAGAAATTACAAAATAATCATTTATTTACCTTCAATGACTCCCCAAGGTGTTTTTCTCCCTAAGACTCTTTTTCCATTCACTTGATATTCTTTATCACTGCCCACCACAGCAAATGGCATACTTTCCTGCTGAAAATACACATATAAATTAATTTGCTTCTTTCTAGTAAAAGTAAGGATTATTTTATTCTTTATTTATTTGTCTGTATCCCACAAAAACAACCCTGTGAGGTGTGTTGGGCCAAGAGAGAGTGACTGGCCCAAAATCACCCAGCTAGTTTTCATGACTGAGTCAAGATTTGGTTCTTTCCATTTCACCAGACCTCCCTTGTATCACATGTACCTTTATAAAATAATATGTGTATAGGAGCTGTCATTACTAGTTTCTCTGTACAATATGTCTATACATAGTATATGCAATGTATAATGGAAAATACATTTGAATACTAATGACTCCTTTAAGCATCTCAAGAAGTAAAAAGGCAGCACATAAATATGTCTAAAGTAACAATAATTAAATAAGTTTGTAAAAATGTATTTTAAAAATTAGATTCCCTCACTAAATGCATAAATTCCAAATGTATGTAAGTATAAAAATTCCTTACATTCAAATTTTGGATTCAGTCTCTAAAAGCTACATATGGTCTAATTTTAATATCTAGTAGAAATAATAGTTTATAAAAAAAACTAAAGTTTGTGTCTTCTCAATAATTACACCCAAACCCCTACATGTAAGGTTAAACTACCCCAGAGCCTATTTTTAAAAAGTCAATTGGAATTATAAACATCATACCCTGATTTTGTCATTCTCTGCTTTGTCTTCAAGGTCTTCATCAAACTCTTTCTGGGGATAAAATTCAATTCCATTGACTTCTAGTTCCTTACGGACCTGGTTAGAAAAAAATATTTCAGGCTGAAAGTCTATGCAAGCAGATAGTATTTCTGACCCAATCCAGAAAAATATCTGGATTGTGTGGTTTGCTGGATGCTTTCCCAAGGGGACTCACCCTCTGTTTGAACTCAATCTTTTCTTCCAGGGTCATGGTGTCTGCCTTGGCAATAACTGGAATAATATTGACCATTTTGCTCAAATGTTTCATAAATTCCATATCCAAAGGTCGCAAACTGCAGGAAGATGATTAGACAATTATAACTACCTTTACTATGGAAAAGCATCTTAATAATGTAATAATAATTAATAAAATTAATTCCTCTAATGCAGGGGAGTCAAATGTCACGGCGTCATCATGTGACGTATCATGACTTTTTTCTCCTTCGCTAAATAGGGCCTGGGCATGGCCAGTGCGTGACACATCTGGCTGTAGGCCACGAGTTTGACACCCCTGCTCTAATGTATTCAGCTCCAGTTTGGAAGGTGGGGGATAAGATACAGGAAACTAGCTTATCTGTGACAGCAGACCCTTTCCTATTAATTTATGGCCATCAGGAACACACTTTGACTGGCAGAGAAAGAAAATAAATAAATTCTAAGCACAAAAACTTCAAGGATCAGAAAATAAGCAAAAGAAAACCTCAGGCACCTTGAGGTAAAGTGCTAGATATGAAGATTACATAAGTGCCTCTTTTGCCAAGTACAACTCTTGTTGGCAATCATAACTGATAGCAGTTACTAAAGATTACAGATAAAGCTGGTAAAATAATTACATCTGTGTGATCACACATATTAATACATTTATACATATTAAATATCTAGAAACATTGTGTTTGCCGACAGTATACTTGTATTTTGAAAATTTCATGCATGAACCAGCCTTAAAAATATTCTGTCCTAGAAACTTGCACACAATAATTATAATGAATACGAATAGCTCTTCTAGGTCTTCATATGCATAATTAGGAATAGAGATGCAACATATCTCAAGTGTGGATTTAGCTTGACTGAAGCTTACCGCTCTCTTCTTTTGACCTTTGGAAGAAATATTACCACAAAATCTGTGCTGACCTTGATTACTTTAGCTGGTTGCAAGTTACCGGGGTAATTTATTCTAGTATCCTATCAGTCCCAAGAGAGTATTTTTTCCTTCATTAATAAAACAGTTCTCATTCCCCCCTCCTCATCTTATGGACCAGCCCCAGAACTAGGAGAAATACATACGAGTGCCCTGTGGGAGAGATAAAGTAGAGGCAACAGTGGACTCTTGTATCTGGGATTCGTTTCTTTCTGGCAATATTCACCTCTTCCTTCAGGAATTTTTCATATTGCTCATTGATGTATTTTTCAATGGGCTCCCAGCTAAGCAAGCAGAAGAGAAGCAGACAGACAATCCTTCATTTCATATTCTGACATGGGCTAATAGGTTTTGGAAGGAAGCAAACCATGGGCAATTTTACAAGAACAAAACGATTTTTGGCAGAGTCCATTCTGTAGCCTAATAATCTGACATTCTGATTTAACTGATATTACAAAATGAAATTGGGATGCTGCTAATATGATTTCAGATTTAGATTTTAGAATCTCTGTATTTTGTAATGGTGTCACCAGATTTGCCCAATTATAACAAATTACTGAGGTACTTTATATATCATGTATGGAACAAAATATAGTAGATCATGCTTTGTGAACAACAAAACAAATCATGTAGCATGAAAAGTAGCTGGATATTTTTATAGGTCATGGAAAAATATGTATATGAAATTGCTAAAACAGCTAAAGTGTACTAATGCTAAATTTGTTCTCTGTATGTTCTCTGAAATTATTTGTGATATTTTCATGTATGTTGAGGTGGAAATTCAAACTTGCTTTGATAGCTTGGGGCTCTGGAGTAACACATGTTTTTCATATTGAGGTAGGGTCCTTTGTGCAGCATGTCCAATTTGTCATTTAGCGGTATAATAACCATAATAATGGTTATGGTGGTAGAACTTTTCCTCAAAAATCCCAATAGTCTCTAAGCCACTACAACTTTGAAATATAAGCATTTTCCCAACTGCTGTTCATATTGGCAGCATAGTAATCCACACTGAAGGATTTTGTAATTCCACTTAGGGGGAAATTAACCTACTGTGATCAGTAAATCAATTGTTAAAAATAACTTACCCAATATGAGATTACAGATAGTCCGTGACTTACAACCACAATTGGGACTGGACTTGATTTTATTGTGGTTATTAAATGAAACATGGTCATTAAGCAAATCTGGTTTCTCCATTTAGTCAGCTGGGAAGGTTGCAAATCATGCAAATCAGCACAGGATGCCACAACCATTGTAAAAGCCAGCTGGTTGCCAAGTGCCTGAATTGTAATCATGTGACTGCAGGGGAAGTCAACAGTTGTAACTTTGAGGATAGGTTGTAAATCACTTTTTCTGAAGGCGTCATAACTTTGAATCATTGTTAAATGAACACTCATAGATCAAGGACTACCTGTATTAAAACATTCCTGTTGGCATTTGTTTAGTAAATGTCATCATATCATCAAAACTATAGTTTGGAGTAACTTGGAGTACAAGGCAGATACTATATTTCTGTATGCTACTTCTGAAAATATTTGTGTCTCTGTGTGTCTACTAATCAGAATTTGCAAGAATTCTACTATATTTAAAGCCTATCCACTTCTCTACTTACACCAGGAGCAAAAGAAGTTGGATTGAAACAGAAAATCATTTAAAAATGAAAATGCTTACCAATTTTCATTGTTGATCTGGTCACCAAATCCAGGGGTGTCAATAACTGTCAGCTTCATTTTGACACCACATTCTTCAATAACTGGGGGGGAAATGTTACTGTTTATTTATTTATTTACTTTATTTTATTTATATTGCCGCCTATTCACCTATGGTGACTCAAGGCAGCTTACACAATGTAAAACCATATTTAAAGCAAAAATGAAAACAACAAAAAGTAACAAAAAGAATCCATAAATTAGTAAAGTACAATAGAACAAAATTTGGGAAAACAAAAAACAAAACAAAAAGAACAAAAAAACACCCCACCAACTCCCACCCCCCACCCTGACAACAGCAGATCACACTAGCCATTTGATGGGCTCCAACCCTCTCTGGATTCCCCAGGCCCGCTGGCAAAACAAGGTCTTCAGTGCCTTTCAGAAGACTGCTAGAGTGGGGGCCATTCTAATCTCTGGGGGAATGATATTCCAGAGAGAGGGAGCCACCATGGAGAAGGCCCTTCTTCTGGGTCTCACCAGGTGTTATTTCCCTCAGGGGTGGGACCCGCAACATTCCCTGCCTCCTCGCTCTAATGGGTCCGGTAGATGTGACTGGCAATAGACGTTCCCTCAGATAACCCAGACCCAAGCCATGAAGGGCTTTAAAGGTGACAACCAGCACCTTGAATTGCACCCGGAAGCAAAGCAGCAACCAATGCAACTCCTGCAGGAGAGGTGATACATGTGCACACTGGGGTCTGCACAAAACCATGCAGGCCGCTACATTTTGCACCAACTGGAGCTTCCATAAATAACTTACTTATCTTCAAAAGTAGTCTCTCTCTCTCCCTCCCCCCCCTCTCTCTCACACACACACACGTACACACACACACGTACACACACACACACATTTATCCATATAGGAACAGTCCATCTCTTCACAGCTAAACTATGTATAAAATTGTATGCAGCTAGGCAACACACCCCCTCCAATAACAATCACACAGTTGATTTCAAGATCAAGGAACAAATTTCAGTATTTTGATATATTTATGTAGGTTTATACCTGAATAATACTGAATATGTTCTGCAAAGTGGAAAAAGTAATAGGGATGGTATACTAGACTGGACCAACTTTTCAGAGACGTATAAATGAGGTCTTTCAGATATATCAGTGCTTCCAAAGTTTCTACAAACCTGGGCTGATTTTCCATTATGCTCTAGATCATTTTTTTTTACCCTGGAGATTTCCTAGCAGGGGTGGGATTCAAAATTTTTAACAACCGGTTCTGTGGGCATGGCTAGGTAGGCATGGCTAGGTGGCCATGGGCATGTGACTGGGTGAGCGTAACTTCTTCTTTTTTGCAGCACACCCCCCCTCCCCATTTTTGCCTCCTGGGCCTCAGGGGAGCCTCCTGGGGGGCATTTTGGCTCCCAGGAAGCTTCCCTGGGGCCCAGGAAGGCAAAAACCAGAGCGTGGGGGCAGCTCTCCCCTCCAGCCCCCCTTTGCTTCCTGGGCCTCAGGGAAACCCCCTGTGCAAAGCAGTAAGACAGCAAACATCCCGGCACAGGTGAACATTGGAACAACTGATTGTCAGGAGAGGGGGAAAAAGAAATACATTAAGGAGTGACTGAGAGGGGGAGAACACAGTCAGAGATGTCAGGCATGCGCACGATGTCATGTATGCGTGATAAGGACTGACTGGGAGGGGAGAGGAGAGGTGGGCGGAGAGGGGAGGGGCCAGCCAGGGGCACAATTTGCTGGTTCTCCAAACTGCGCAGAATCATAACAACCGGTTCTATAGAACCGGTCCGAACCAGTAGAATCCCACCCGTTTCCTAGTATATAAATCACACCATTGTGATTAATGTATAGTGTAAGCACTTTCACAAATGAAACAATGTAACACTGTAACACTGTGGAGTAACAGCTGACATACAACATTTTGCATAGAATAACAGAAAGTTTAGTGATGATAATAGAGCATAAAAGAGGGAGATATGGAATGTATCTTAAGATGGTAAAGTTTTTACTGTATGTACTGTATGTACTTTTTCCAGAAGCAGCCATACATATTCAAACCTGTGCCTACAGAATGGAACCAAATGTAATATACTAGTCCCTTCTGTGTTACTTAAGAAATGGGAGCAAAGAGGTGAGGCCAGTATCACAGCATCACTGTTGCTTCCATTATTATATTTCCTTTAGTCAATAGCACAGGAAGTATGATTGTTTTACTTAGAGTTTCATGTTACAGGTAATTGAGCAAGGGAAGTGAGTGCAATGAGGTCTACTTTTGGCAAGTAGGTGGATTCCTTTTCACAGTTTCAAATTCTGCCTCTGCATATCTAACCCAGGAAGACTAATGTTTTGTCTGTCAGACTATCAGCCAATTTTGACTCTATTTATCCTGGCATTTCCTCCGGAACTGGCCCTTCATCTATTGTTACAACTATTATATATATATATTTTAAAGTAGAGAAATAATAATTTTAAAACATTAGCTGAACACCCCACTCCCTAGAACTGAATAGCACAGCAAATTCTTTCAGATTCTTGTCATTCTCCTGGGAGACAGAGCCCAAATTACTGGATGAAGAAAAGGCAAAGAGTTCTATTTCAGTCCCTTCTTTTGAAAGGCGTGCTGCTCTGACCCTCATTCCTTTTGTAGATAATAAAGAAACAGCTTAAAAGCCTAGCACAATAAGCCACAATGTATCTGCATACTAAGAAGAACTGGCTTTTACCATGCCCAATAGCCTTGATCTCCACAGTCTTGGGAATCTTCTCCTCACGGTTCCAGCCTGAAGACTTCCTGCTTACTTGGGATTTGAACAGAGTGTTTACAAGTGTTGATTTTCCAAGTCCACTTTGGCCTAGGGGAAACAACATACAAACAATACAAAATTGGTGTTTGGCTAGTATAAATTGCTACTGTACTTTTTGTTTTGTTTATTATTACTGTTTTGACAATCAAATCTGCTCAGGGAGTTCCTTTTAATGGCTCTTTCTTCACTTGCAGAGTATATCCCTATCAATCCCATTGTTCCTCATTGATCGCACAACATAGGCTGTATCTTATCTCAGCCCTGAGTTAAAATAGTAATAATCTTACACCAATTCTTCCCATAAGAACAGATTTATCTTGTTTAGGCCAGTTAGGTCATGTCAGTGAGCCTAAGGATATACACACATACACACACACACACATGATTTATATAGCTGCCTATCTCATAGAAATGACCATTATTGCAATGTGTGATTTGGGGTATATCCTGGGCATGTGGGAAAACGTAGTTACACTCCTCACTTAAGTTACTGGCCAACTGGATATATTAACCATTAATCAAATTTTGACCAACTATCTGTCTGAAATGTATGGAAACAATAACTTGGTTATCAAGGAACTAAGAATGCAAAAGGGTGCATAATCCAGACAACTCGTTGTATGGCAGCATTTTTTTTTCAACTGTCGCAGTAAATATTGAATGGTAAACTGCTAGTGAAAAAAGGACCATTGGGTAGATTTAAAACATAATAAACATATACTGGCAGCTTTTCTCAACTTCGTACCTTCCTGATATGCTGGAATCACAACTGCTGTTCCCTATGCTGGCTATGGAGTTTGGGAGCTGAAAGCTCATTCGCACAACCTCCTTGCCTGATGTGAGAATGCCTCCCGCAGCCCCTGCTGTTTTTTCTTGATGACAGAAGCAGGTAGTAACTTTGTCCAAGCAGCCCAAGTCCACTGTGAAGGCAAGTATACCTCAAAAGTTTTCCTTATGCCTCTACAAGTGGATTTGATCTGTCTGTCTGCAGCACATTTCACATTTCACTGTATTTCACATACTCCTGCTCCAGTTGGCTACCCTGCATTTTGGTGGGAAGATCTTTCCTGCTCACTGATATTCATGTCCATCTTAGCTTGCCTGTAAGGCTGCCCCCTATTCTGAAAGGATTTTCACTGATAGACTGGTAAAATGCTGGACTATTTAACGAATAGCCCCAAAGGCTGGAGTGGTCTGATACTGTGTTTTTGTTTCTTACAGGTTTTTTTTTCTTTAATCAGGTGAAGTTGACAAATGTTCTGCCAAGTTCTTCTGGCATAAGTGTCAGGAAGAACAGTAAAACTGAAATCTTCTTGTGCTGGATGAGAAAACGTCAAGCACGAGAAGGACTCAGCTCAGATAAAAGCCACATTGTCTTCAAAACTGGTCCCCTCAAAATAAAGATGTTTGCTTTCCTGGCATGGGTAACCGGGGTGGGGGGTGGGGGAAGCAAGGGAATCTATCAATCAGGGTCTGTGATTATTGCCCAGTCAACATTCTTGTCAATGATGTCATTTCCAACTGGTTTAAGCAGAGAGACAAGCAGTTTAAAACTGTCATGTGGAAGCAGTCATAGAGTCAACTTGTTTATTCATCCAGGCAGAGGCTGGTTTAAGCTTGGTTACTTATTGCCATAAGAGGCAATGCTAGGTCAAAAGAAAGAACTATTTAGGATGAGATACCTGTTTGCTAGGGCAGCAATCGAGAGCAGAAGTAGAGCCTCAAAGGAAATAGCTGTGCTTGTAGAACATGCTGCAAGGCAAGCTCAAAGAGAGTACCCAGATGAAGTTGTTCCTACCCCAAGCCTGTATACCAATCTTTCCTACCTACAACCATGATGTTGAAGTCAAATCCAGTTTTCATGGTCTTCTTCCGCATTTGCTCTATGATGGTATCAATCCCAATGTAACCCAATAGGTTGGAATTAATACTGACAGGTTTCATTGGTACTACTGGCTTTTGCCGTGGCTCTGGTACCAGTTCAGACATAACTGCTTCAGACTTGGTATCTGCTGAGCCTGCAAATGGAAGGAAAATAAAAAACAAATTATGTGCCAGAAGCAAGTTGAATATAATAAACACTGGTTCCTGGGGTTGATATTCCTGACCAGTTTGCCCTGTCTTGAGTATAGCCCACTGACATATTTTGCAGGAACACATGACATTGCCCTCTGCCTGACCCAGGTCATCAGGAAGGCAACTTCCACCTGTCTTTTTTTCTGCTGTACATTAACTGCCAATTCAAATGGTGCTGTTCAGTTCTCCTATTGAATTTGACTTCACTGTGGGGGCTCCTTTCATATCCCTGTTAAGTTGCCCACTGAGATGGTATTCCTTTATCTACTCGCAGTTGCCCACTTTTGAACTGCTGGGTCAGCAGGAGCTGGAATTAATGATGGGAGGTCACACTAGCATACGTCAGCAACTGGGTCTCAAACATGAACTTGTGAATCATCAGACCAGTGTCCTAACCACATGAGCCACAGTGCTCCACTACTACTACTACTACTACTACCACCACTACTACTACTACTATACTATTACAACACTAAAAATAGTTCTTTGGATTGATCAGCTATCTCTACTTGATTCCCTTGGATTGTTTGGATTAAAACGGCCATGCTATTTTCCAATTTATTATTCCTTGCTGGTAGTTATGGGACTTTCAGGCCAATGTATCTGAGGGCCTGAAAAAGATCCAGAACAGGAACTAAGCTTGTTTTCTCATTCATTGAGAGGAACATTCCTCTTCTGAATAATTCTTTTTCCTGTTATTTCCACTGAATCTCCAGCACTGCTTCAATAAATGTGTACTGATGTTTAAGAGTTAAGTCTGACTTTGCTTTTCTATAGAAAAGAATCTGCAGATGTGGGAGCCAAAATGAGCTAGCCAAACAGAACTGGCAATTTTTTTTAATCATCTCAGTTTGTGATATAATGTGTGTGTTACCAGAGAACTTTTTCTTCATTGTTTTTCAAATGAGAACATGAAAAGCACCCATAAGGTTGGGAATGGCGGGCTAGGATCAAAAAATGATGGGAGTATATTCAGTTCAGTTTTTCCAAATCCTTGGACGCCACACAGTAATAGGGTGCATTGGAATTGTTGCCAAACTTAAATTTGTCTGTGTGTCTGTTATCTATCTATCATCTATTTTCATCATCATCATCTTTCTCCCTTTCCCCTTCTTCCCTCCCTCCCTCCCTTCCTAACTATCATCTACTTATATCATCTACCTGTCTCACACATACATGAAAAGCATTATTCTCTCCCCTTGGCTTTTGCCTGAGTAGCTCCAGAAGACAGATCATAGACAATATGCCATTTTTCTTGAAGTATGTGGAAATCTTCATGTATAGGAACTCAAAAGGAAATTGAACATATCCAGAAACCAAGCTTTTGATACTTAGATTATTTCCTTAAATAATAATTTAAAGAATAATAATTCCCTAATTGTCAGTCTTTAAAAACTATCATAGGCAATTAAAGAGTTACAAGATAACAGAGGTTCCCAAAACTGCTCCCAACTGCTCCCACTGCTACCAATCAAAGCATATCATGAAGTTGCTTTCTCTTTCTCCTCTTTCCTACTACCACCATCCCATCTCTTCTTTGTCTTGTAAATGGATACTTCATGTGTTGGGAAAGAAAGTACTCACATCAGGTAAGCCACTTTTATTAACAGAAAGTCTAATCTAAAACAGTCCAGAACTGGGAAACTGTTTTTTAAATTTCTATGCAATGCAAAAAAAAAAAAAACCATGTAAGTTTTAGAAGAAACTCTTCTCAAGTAGGTCACAAACTCATTTTCATAAGAGAAACTGATAAATTCAAGACTCCGTTAAATCCCAAATGCTCAGGATTAGGGTTTCAAAGCTATTGTAATTCTAAAAAAGAGATCCTGAGCTTTGCAGAATTTTTTATGTTGCGAGTAATCCCTTCACATGGCTTCTTGGGAGATCTGAATATTGACTTCTATTTTTAAATTATTAAAGAAATCACTGTAGAGTCTTATTCGTGCCATTGCAAAAGTAAGTCCTCTGAAACACAGTGGGCTTCACTCCCACAGATATCAATAACAGATGGCTGTCTCTGCTTTATCCTGATTGAGCTTTTGAAACTGGAGCTGATTCTGCCAACAGTTAGTCTCCTATCTTTTTTCACACTATATTGAAGCTATGTTTAAATGTAGGAAAAGACACGTGTCATAGTTCTGTGAATACATTTTTATATGGTGCCATTTGCATGGTTCAGTTTTTTTTATATTTCCACGTAAATGGAGAAAAAACCCATCCATGCGAGATACCAAATGAGGTCAGTACACTGACTAGGATCAACTTGCTGATTAGTGTGAGATGGTTTACTGTGTTTCTGTGAAAGACAGTAAGATACATTTCTTTGGACTGCCTATGATGGTGTAAATTAAAAGCACGTTTCTCCCCAACATATTTCAAATTACCATAAAATATCTGCAACTGCTTATTAATACCAGTCATATTTCTTTCTCCAGCTTCCCTAACCTGGTCTCTTCTCCAGATATACAGTGCTACAACTTCCATCATTCCTAGCCAGAAGAACCACAATGAATGGGGAGGGTAGAAAGTGTTAGTTCAACTGACTTGGGTGGCTTTAGTTTTGGAAAAACTGCCTTAGTTCTTTCTATTTGCCCATCTATTATCCCTCCCATTCTTTCCCCTCTGCCAATGTATGGACGTTCCATTCCTGTTACCCAACCCCAATCCCATCACACCCCGTTTTTTTTCCTTTCCTCTGATCAGAGTTGTTTCCACTGCCCAGCATTTAAAGTCACACCAGTCTGTCATCTACAATTACCCACGGAACAGCCATAGACCAAAACATTTTGCCATGCTAAAGGTTCCCCGTTACCATCCCTCCATCCCTGTTCCAGGCTCAGTCCCTGAGGATTCTTATGTGGGTTCAAATGTTAGCTGCAGCTGCAAGCTGGTACTCACACCCCTGGCCAGGCCAGCTGGGATGAATGCCCTCCTTCACAAAAGCCTCAGTGTCTGATGCTCAGCAGCAGCAGCAGCAGGCGGCTGCTCCCGCTTCCCTCTTGATACCAGATGGAAAAGATGAACAAGAACTGGAGCGTCTCCTTTTGGCAGGCTTCTCCGGACAGCTTTGAATTAAAGCAGTGGCCAGTCTCCATTCCCAAACCCAAATGCATGGTTGAGCTGAGGGTGCATGCAAGAGCACAGCATCCCTTCCTGCATCTCTGAGCTCAGCCAGATCCAGAAAGAGCATGCAAACCCCTGCAGGAACCACCTACCTTTGAACATGAATCTTTCTTTGTCTCTGGCTGTGAACCTTCGGGTGGGGTTTCTCCTGACTTTTTTCCTGCCCCACAGGCGCCTATGAGATTCTAGTTGTCTTTGTTTTTTTCCGTACCCCTCTTTCTTTTCTTCTCCAATGGATATTTCACATAAGATGCTGCTGCTACTGCTGTTACCACGATCACGTGATCTGAATATTAAGCATCGCTGCAAAATCTCCCCCACACTCTGCCTCCCTCTCTTCCCAGGATCCAGAGCATTATCATTCAAGCATCTGGGAGACCTTGATTGGATTGATGTGCATTAAATTGTGCACTGGCTTCTGAAGGGAGGTGCTACTGGGATATGAGGGTTAGCAGTAGCCTGGAACAAGTCCCCTCCCCATCACATATATAAATGTTTCCTTCTCTGCCTGGTCTCAGCACCCTCCTTCCTTCTCTCTGTTCCCAGGCAGCATTCATATGGCTTTGTTTGCTGAGCATCTCTAGAGGCAGACACTAGTTAATGTAAGAGGATCATTAACCCCTTCATCAGTTATAGCATTCACACATAAGGAAAGAGGAAATAGATTTCACATCTAAGTATTCAGGGATTTTCATCTTGGCACTTGCTTTTAAGGAGGTTATGATAAATCTTGTGACATTTGGCAACCGCTCATCATCACAAGATGCTGGCAACCACAAGAGGTAACAAGTTACCATATGGCAAGGCATGGTATATGTCAGCAATGATTTACATGTCAACAATGATGCGGGCAGGGAGAAATCTGCCTTTGTGTCAATCTGAGTAACGCACACTGGTGTGTCTCCATGTGTTTATAGACATCTACATCATGTATGTGAATTTGCACAGTTGTCATGGTAAGCATAAATCCCTTAGGACAAAAACATTTCCATATCTGGCGTCTGTACTTATTTTGACAATATGCAGAGACCTATTTGCAATGGGAAACACTGTGATCCAAGGTAAACTCAACAAAACACATACAATATATATATAGCTTCATGTGAAGTTTATATATGTGTGAATTTCACCGCAGGTACCAGGCTGAGCAGGAATGACTTTATGGTAAATATGTTAACATATGTGTTTGCAAATCTCACATATGATATCTGATGCCCATAGGCAAGATTTCTTAATGCACAAAACATTCTGGGTACTAAAGGAAAGACGAGGAATCTGTATAACTGGACAAGAAGTCTGCACAATAATTCCCCAATCAGCTGGAATGAACCATATTCACTGAATTCATTATTTTCTCATTTAATATTTGGAGAACAAGAGTTCAGAATGGAGATGAATCTAATTTGGAGTCAGGTATTGTGGATATTATGTGCATTGAACAGGACAACTAGGCTACAGAGAAACTGTATCTGATTGTTAAGTAGCATGCGTGTCAGGGTGCAACAGTTCTCAGATCCAGCTGTTGGAATTCCTATCTGGAATAGAAAAGAGATCTCTCTTAAAAAATTACTAGTCAGCACAATTTTCTTCAACTAGGTTCCATCAAATATCACTTCTGACATTCCCAGCTAAGGTTCACCATATTATTTGAAAAACCTGAAATAAATGAGGAAAAGAACAAGTAGAAGAAAGCTGCCATAGACAAGACTGGATTAGATGGACCAATTGTTTTATATCAGGCAGATTCTACTATCTGTGCTACACGGTCTAATCTGGAACATGAACAAATGTTCACAGTTGTATTACGACCCTTCCTTCACCAAGCTCAGGCTCTCATAGATGAACCAGTCACTTAGTGTGTTCACAGACAATTGGAGAAATATCTATTCTGCTCCTAATCAGAGGTCTCTTAGAAATGGCCATTGTCACTTAACAGTACAGCGTGATATGACAGTACGGTCACTAAAGCCATAGTCACTTCAATTGAAATGATATTTAGTAGCGTAAAAGTATCAGATGAGATAAAGAACTGGTCTGATGTGAGTGTAGTGATGAAATCATTGATTTGCTGCAATGTGATTAACTGTTCTGTGATTAACTGCATATGGATTTCAACAGACTTTCTACATTTACTTAAATTCTAGAGTGGGAGTTCAACTTATCTGGAGGGCAGAAAGTTGGAGAATGCTAGTTTACACATGCTACATATTTAAAGCTTATATTTTTAAACCACTTTAAAATGCTATTTTCTTATATTGTCTGTCCTTTTCTATATAGGTAGTCCTCGACTTATGATCACAATTTTGGGTTCAATTGTGGTCGTAAGTTGAGGACTACGTGTAATATGAAAAACAAAAGAAAACAATGACACAGATAACTCTTGTGTGTGAATTGGATCTGATTTTACATTTCTGCAGAGCCATTGCTCTGAGACAATAAAACAATATTCAGGCAGAATACAGTTTCATGGAACATGCATTCCATAGTATGCCATTATTAACTGAGAGACTACGACCACTGATTTCATGTACTGTATGTACAACAATATGTAGCAGCACTTACCATTTTGGGATTTACATTCTGTCTCAGTTGCATTTACCACAGAAACGGTTGTAGGATTTTTCATAAAATAGTGGTCCACATCAGCTTGCTCTTCAGGACACTCCTGAGGAAAGGGAGGGAGTATCTTAAGAGGCCCCGATAAGCCCCGGAGTTTAACTCTTGGAATGCCATTTCTGGCCATGGAAACCTGGGCTTCATGTACAGCTTTGACCAGGATAGAACTCATGAGATCCTTTCCCATGGTTCGGGTAGGTGCCTGACATGATGGAAAGCTATCAAAGCCTATTTTTTTCACTGAATCTTGTGTTTCTGTCTCTGAAATCTGGATTGCATTTTCAAGAGACGAGTTCGTTTGTGGATCAGGAATGAACTCAACTGTACTCTCTGGTAAGATCTGTGGTCCAGATAGCAGCTGAGGAGGTGGCAAAGGCTGTTTTTTGAAGCTTCCTGGTGTTTCCTCCTTTGAAGATACCTTCTGGAATTCTTTTCTTGCCATGGGATGCCAAATGAGTTGCCGGCTGGTTGGAGAAATGCTGTTGCTTTGACGAAAAGTAAAAGATATGGAGCTGAGTTTCTGTTGTTCCAAACCATTAGTTGCTGTCTGCTGAAGTGGCTGGTATCTAGTGGGAGGAGGACATGAAACCTGAACATCGTGGCTCCCTGGTGATTTGGGAGAAAGAAGCCTAGAAGCAGGTCTGGGAATCCCTTTGCCTTTAGCCAGAAGAGTCTGTTTGGGAGAACCTTGCACGAATAAGGAGTTCTTTTTCAAGCTAGGATTAACAGATCCTAAACCACCAGTCCCAGGTGAGCGAGCTGAACATCCTGGAATGCTGTTGCAACGAGAGGAGGCACCTAAGACTGGGATACACCTTTGGATCCTGTGTGGGGAGGGAGTACAACCTTTATCCATCATGACTAGTGGGTGCCTTTGTTTTTCCTAATGAAATAAAAGCACATGAAATATTAAGAACTTAAAGAAGTTAAAATTGCCTTTTAACTGCTTTTCAGCTATTAGGAACCTTTAGACCAACAAGTGTTTTACAGCACTGGGAGAGTTTCCTTCAATCCCTAGTGAAAGAAGTTTTGAACGCAAGTGTTAAAAGCAAGTTTTTTTCTGGAATAAACAGCAAATTAAAGCTTTGATTTTATAAAGTTACAAATGGACTAACGGTCCAGATAAATTTGAAATAAAATTTTGGATTTTAAGAATCTTTCTATGGGCAATTCTTTGAAATCTTAAAAAAAAGATGAGGTTTTAAAAACTGGATATTAGAAGGAATTAGAAGATTACAATTAAAGGACTCAATTTAGTCATACAGAATGAAGCAAAATATTTTATTATTGTACATGTTGAAATATATTTTTGAACACTGGACCTAGAAGTTTTTTTTTTAAAGTTTAGTCAGAAGCTGCCAGAGTCATTTTACAGGGGAGACAGAGAGCATAAAAAATTTAACAAATAAATAAGTAAATAAATGCAATTATTTTTAAGAGGGTATGCCATTACAGATAAGATAGCTGCATTTTTAAAATGTTATGGAAGAACAAGTTTACCAGACAAGATAGACTGTTCTGAAAATGGGTTTAAAAGAGACAGACTGCAAAAATATTGGGGGGAAATGCTACATTGGATATACAAATGAAACCAGTTGATGTCTTAACAATTAAAAGGGATAAACAAATAAAGAGTGATATGGATAACTTCCTCATATTGAACTTATAAAAGAGATGTTAAAATTCTGAGACAAAAGAAAAAATGAAAAGAAATCAAGTTCTAGATTCTAGAACATTATTTGAAAGGACTATAGATCAACATTGTTAGAAGTAAAAAGAAGGACTATAAAGTTGGTTTATTGATCAAGGTTATTATATATATATATATATATATATATGATTAGTGCAGTAAAATCCATAGGGATTCCTTTATTTTTTTTTAATGCGGAAAAGAGATTGTTTTGCTGAATTTTAAGAGAAAGTGCTAAGTTATTAAAATAGTTTGTACTTGTGATGACCAGCTTCTTTATATATTTGTTTTGTTTCACTTTATTCTTATTTTTTTCCAGTTTTATTTTCTATCTCTCTGTGTCTTTTCTGTATTTTTTTTCTTTTTCTTTTTTAATTTGTATTAATTTTTTTAATGTTGTCAATTCTGTTCTTTAATAAAATTACTATTTAAAAAAACAAAAAATACAGTTCCTGGTTGTCTCTCATGCTAATTGTGATTCTGGTCTACAGGCTTCGTGGTCTTTTGATAGACTTTTCATAACTTTTATTTGATTGGGGTGCAGTGCGAAGACTTTTACCATGTCTTCCAAAATTCTGTTAAGTTTTAGTCCCTGGGCTTTTGAAGAACACCTGATTGGGAATGGCTGCTGTAAGCCATTGAAAGAGATACTCTCTCAGTCCTCTTAAAAGCTCTAAGATATAACCTGGCTACTCTGACCAAACATTTCTTATTTTTTCAAATTCTTATACTGAAAGAGAATGATAACTGCTTACCTGGTAATGTAAAGGCAAAAAGCAGATGAATGCTCATCAGGAACATCCCAGAACAGTCTTTCATTGATTGCAAAGGATCCCATAAAGATATTTACATGAGCTTTAACAAGACATATTAACCCTAAGACGTCCAAACTTTCTGTATGACGTGAAGAATATGTTTGTCTCTCTTTCAAATGTTTTGCTCTTCTCTTTCTCTGTCTACTGTATCCTCTTTTTAATTGTGGAGTGTTTTCTCATTCTCTTGGAGTGGGAGAAAGAGCATTTTGGATGCTAGGAGCAGCACTTTGCTAGATGCAAAGGAGTGGGCACAGGCTTTGAATGAAAGCACTCATAAACAGTTTTGAATTGGAAATTGTAAAAAGGAAAGAAGTACATTCTGGAGATCTCAGTGATTGTAAACATCTAGGAACAGCATATAACATTATTCTTCTGAAGCACTGTATAGACAATAAATATAGGAAAAGGCACCATATTATAGGAATTTTTCCCATTGCTGCATTAAAAAGCATTCCTCTAGTCACCAAGTTGGCAAAAAAAAAAAAAGTCTGCCTGCTAAATAGTCCTGCACCAACAGCTTCAGTGACAATGACTGTTGCTGTCCTTATGATTTCAACATGAGACACTTTAAAAGGCAGCAATTGTTGGGAGTCCCCTGGCTGCATTTCCCCTTTAATCGGTGTTACATGACAGGTAGGAAAATCAACCAGCAATTGCTGTCCTTAACATGGAAGGCCAGGTCTGAGCAGTTGTGAGTAGATGCCTGGAATGTTTCATTACGTAGCTAACAAAGAAGTAAGCTGTGGTACTGACCTGTTAACTTGGTCTTTTTATGAACGCAAATCTACTGCTCTTATGAAAAGGTGCCGGACCTGTTTAGTTTGTATCTGGTTGTCTTCTAGAAGAGTGCTAAACTCATGTGTACTGGCTGCTTGTGCAACAAGGGGATACGTGCTGAAGGATGAAGGAATAATCACCTCAGTTATTATCAATTCCCATGCAGCAAAGCAGACATAAGTTGGACAATTTTTTATTGCTAAGTAAATGGATTGGGATTTCATAATGCAAAAGTATAATTCTTTTGTGAAAATTACTATTTGATATATTGGACATACTGTAATCTCTGTATAAGGGAAACACGTCACTATGAAGAAGAGTTGAAATTGACGGAACTTGGAAAATACACATATTTCTCTGCAACTTAGAAAACACCATATCATGTTTTGATACAGTATCATAGCTCTAACATTTTTTATAATATGCCTGCTTTTTCAGCAGAGGCCTGACAGAAAATCTGTCTTCACGTCAAAAGCAGCCGTTTAGTTTTTAAAAATATATTGGCATGTTTTAAAGAAAACATCTGTAAATGTTCAATAAATGCTTTACTGGTCAGTTATTCCTAGCCCAAGAGGACGAAAAAGAGAAATAATATGCAGAGTTTTTAAGTTGCACTTGAAAAGGGGTAGCAAGTGCATGCAATCCTATTAAACTTGTCTTTAGTTCAACACTACATGTCTTCACCTATTTGACTCAGACTTTGGTTTCTGTCTATTTTAGGTTTAATTTTAAGGCCTTATTTCAGTGTCTTGATTTATCTATATCATGTGACGTGGCTAAGCGTTATGAGAACTGAAATGCAAAGTACCTGGGCAGAAATTTGGGGAGAAAGTGCCTAGACTCTTTGACTTTCACAGTAGCCCTCTCCAGTTTCATATGGAAATAATGTTTCAATGATTTATTTGCAAGGGACAACAGCAGGAACGGGCAGAACAATATGCTTTTTGTGTAACTTTTGAAGGGCCAAAAATCCAAGCATTACTTCCATTCCAGGCTTTGAATCTCCCACACTCTTGCTAACCTAACTCTTCAACCGCTGGAAAAGTCTAAATAAATATCTAAGCCAATGAAGATGGTTTCCTTAGTTTTAGGTGGTTTATTTTTCTTACATTCAATTGTGTCTGATTCTTGGAGACTGCCTAGGCAAGTCCCTGCAGTTTACTTGGTAAGCTTCTTCATAAGTAGTTTGCCATTGCCTCCTTCCTAGGGCTGAGAGAGACTGATTGGCTTAAGATCACCCATCTGGCTTGTGCCCAGGAAGCGACCAGAACTCATGTTCTCCTGGTTCCTAGCTAGATGTCTTAAATACTACACTGGGCTGGCTCTCTTTTAGGTGAGAGAATCATACTATATTTGTTTATCATGTTTATCTGGGCAGCCTTTATAATATTAATGCCAAAATATAAGTGTACTTAAATGGTAACACTGGAATATGTTTATTTGGCATACCATACCACATCTCGGCTGCAAAATCTGGATAATACTGGCTGATAGCAGAAAGATACAATTTTTTTTTGGTTACCATATAATTATGTTCATGTTTTGTAACCCATGTTGGCTAGCTCTAGTTTATATCTATCGCATCATTCTAGTGGGGTTCAAAAATGTTACTACCGGTTCTGTGGGCCTGGCTTGGTGGGCCTGGCTTGGAGGCGTAGCAAGAGAAGGATACTGCAAAATCCCATTCCCTCCCCACCCCACTAACCTGCTTTCCAGGTCCGTTCTCCTGTGCAGGGCAACAAAGGAAGACCCAGTCAATCAACTGGGACTCAGGAGGCAGAGAATAGATGGGGGAGGGGAAAGTCAGAGGTGGTATTTTCCAGTTCTCCCAACTACTCAAAATTTCTGCTACCAGTTCTCCAGAACTGGTATGTATCGTGCATTCTGTCTTTTATTTAACAATGGAAGATGAAGTTATAAATCCATTTTTAAAAAGAGGCAATAAGTTCTCCATTTGAAAAATGAGACAAGATGGTGGGCATTTCAGTTCCTTTTAATAATATTATATCACAGTTTACCTACATGTACATTCATGTTAAGTATGTGTAATTTGCATGGGAGCTTAGAATACACGACTGATTATTGGTTGCTAGTATTTCAACTCATAAAGATATTTCTGACATTAGGTTGTTGAGATTCTCTGACCTTGCTTTTCATCTTGCAGGCGTTTCACCATCAGGCCGTGTAACATTATCAGTGGAGGGAGAATGAAGTTTGCTAGTGTTTATATATGGCATTAACATGATAAACAAACATAGCATGATTCTCTCACCTATGAGAGAGACAGTTTGGGGTAATAGTTTAAGACAAGCCAGGAACCAGGAGATATTAGTTCTAGTCCCTCCCGGGTTTGTCCTACCAACCTTGACTGAGGTAAGTCAGATACATTCTGAGCTACATATATTCATTCTCCTCGATTGTGAATGTGGATGTTAAATTTTCCAAGAAGTCCCATCAGAGATGGCTATGAATTCATGAAAATGCTAGCTATATTTGAAAAAGTACATGGGGCCAAACGACAATCATGCAATTTACTGTAAATAAAAGAAAAAACAGGCAGATATCTTGTTTTTTTAA